CTGTGTATATTGTTTCTGTGATGGTGTGTGTCTGTGTATATTGTTTCTGTGATGGTGTGTGTCTGTATATATTGTTTCTGTGATGGTGTGTGGCTGTGTATGTTGTTTCTGTGATGGTGTGTGTCTGTGTATATTGTTTCTGTGATGGTGTGTATCTTCTTTATCAATATGGTTGCCTTTCCTTCTAGAAATGTTACCACTTTGTGTTTCAACGATATCGCCTGGAGCATTACACTGTGACGTCCAGCTGGCTGGCATTAGGAACAGTCTTCCTGTTTGGGCTCTTGTCGTTCTCTCGCTCTGTGGCTCTGTTCAGAGGTAGTCATGCTGGGAGTGTCTTAACCCACACTCACAAAGAACTTCACCTTAGGGTTTTCTTGTAGCATGTGGTTGGCTTATGCTGGGAAAAGGCCATTCCCAAAGGGAAGGCGTGTAGACTTGATAGTGAGTGGGGTGTGGCTTCCATATCTCAGGACTGAAAGGAGTTGGCTGTATCTTCACGTCACTACCCATGTATACTTCATGTCCCCCTCCAATAGCATTGGTTTCTCCCCACTTTTTCAGTTTAAAAAAGTTTTATGTGTATAGTCTGAATTCATAGGTACCACATGGGTATCTGATTCTGTGAAGGCCAGAAGAGGACACTGAATTCCCTGGAACTGGAATTACAGATAATTGTGAACTGCTGTGTGGGTGCTGGGAATTGAACCTGGAACCTCTGGAAGAGCAGCCAGTGCTTTTAACTGCTGAGCCACCTCTCCAGCCTTTCTAGTGGCTGCTGCTAATGTAATGAAGCCTAAATATGTTATGCAAATTGAAGTTAAATTCTCATGGCTAAATATTTCCTAATAACCAGTATTGGGGTCATAATAGTAAAATATGCCCAAATAGAACTTTTAGAGGGTAGAACAGTATACAGAGAAGGAAGCAAGTTACATGTGGCAAATAAGGCCTCCACTGTGGTGGTTGTCCCACCAAGAGAGACATCTGTGCTGGTAGAACAGGCTTCCCACTGAGTTGCTGTGGGCTTTCACTCTTAGAAATTTCATGTGGATTATAGTGGGATGTTAACATGAATTATACTTAAAAGCTAGAACCTCGTCTTTGATTTCATGAACTCTTCTCCCTTTTAGGATATCATGGGCCCCTTGATTTGTATCCAGAATTTTACCGAATTGCCACAGACCCAGCTATCCACACTGTCCCAGAAGGCAGGCCTGTGAATGTTTGTGTGGGAAAAGAATGGTACCGGTTTCCCAGTAGCTTCCTTCTGCCTGATAAGTAAGTTGTCCTTTAATTGATAGTATTCCTGTATGCGTGGAGGCTGTATGTGGGGATGGTATATGTGCATGCATGTGGGTATGTGTGTGTACACAAAAATGTTAGAGGTGGGCATAGAGTGCCCTCTTCTGTCACTCTCTGCCTGTTCCTTTGAGGCAGAGACTCTCCCAGTACCTGGAGCTTTGTGCCTCCATTTTTCTTTTCCCACTAGGTTGACGTCAGCCCCGGTGGGATCCTCCTGTCTCTGCCTGTCTCAGTGCTGAGGTTACAGGCATATATGGGATACCTGGTATCTTAATATGGGTGCTGGCATCTGAATTCTGGCCCTCAGACTTGCACAGCTTGCACTCTTAACCACTAAACCATCTCTCCAGTCCCTAATTCTCACCTTTTTTAAATTTATTTTTAAAAGATTGACTTATTTTTTTATGTGCATCTGTGTTTTGCTTGCATGTGTTTATGTGTACCACATGCGTGGCTGGTGCCCAACTAGGCCAGAACAGAGCATCAGGTCCTTCGAAACTGGAGCTAGATAGTAGTTAGCTTCCATGTGGGTACTGGGAAATGAACTCAGGTTCTCTGTAGGAACTGCAAGTGCTCTTAACTTCTGGGCCATCTCTTCAGTTCTGTTTCCCAGCAATTTATATAAAGTAGCAATTCTATGGCAAGATTGTGTTAGAATTTATTTGTTTTGGAGGGTTTAATTTTTTTCTTTGGAGGTGTATGTATATGTGTGTATATTTGGGACACATGCACCCATGTGTAAATGTGTGTGGAGGCCCAGAGGTCAGCTTTGGGTGTCGTTCCCCAGGCATGTCCACCCTGGTTTTTGAGACAGGGTCTCTCATGATCAGGGCTTGCCAGTTATGCTAGGCTGACTGGCTGGCTGCTGGCTAGCAAGACCCTGGGGTCTTCTGTTTCTGCCTCCCCGCACTGCTATTGTAAGTACACCTCACCACAACTGGCTTTTGCACATGGGTTCTGGGACTGAACTCAGACACTGGACTGTCTTTCCAGCCCTCTTTGGAGTTTTTACAGGAATTACTGAATAATTTATCTTCTTAGACTGCTGCAGAATCTGCATTGTGTACCTGCCTCTCTTTTTCATAAACAGGGTGTGTCTATGTATATATATGCTTGCATGTCTCCTAGTCACAGGTGTGTAAGGATTTGTGAAATGGTTTGTTCTTGGGCTTCTGCTAGTAGTGTGTATGTGTGTGTGTGTGTGCACGTGCACGCACATTCACACTCTTGCATGTTCATGTGTAGAGGCCAGAGGTTGATGTCATGTATCATCGTCTATTGCTCTTCGCCTTATTTGTTTATTTATTTTGCCTTTGAGCCACGGTCTCACTGTGTAACCCTGGCTGGCCTGGAACTTGCTACATAGACCAAGCTGGCCCCTTACTCAGAGGTCCACCTGCCTCTGCCTCTGAGTCCTGAGATTCAAGATGTGTGCCGCCATGCCCAGCTCCACCCAGGTTTTGAGACAGGGTTTTTCTCCTTACTATACCTGGAGCCCAGGGTTTCAACTAGCAATCCTTCCAGAATCTTCCTGTGTGTCTCCTCAGTGCTGTGCTGGGGTTACAGGTGTACACTGCCACACCAGCTTTTATCTGGGTGTTGGAGTTCCAAACACAGATCCTCAAGCTTGTATAGCAAGCTCATCCTCCAGGCCCCTCTTCTTGAGGGCACGTATTTATCTTTCTGCAGTCGACACTAAAACACTTCTAACAGTGATGTGGAGACCCTGGCAAGAAGAATGCATTTAGAAAGGTTTTTTTTTTTTTTTTTTTTCCCATTCAGTAGTAAATTTCCACACTGATACATAGGCAGTAGGGAGAGCTATGATTGAGATATACCGGCGGTGGCGGCATCCTTTTTACTTTGTTAGATGTGGTAACATTACCATGGACTTGTGTGTTTTTCTTATTTGGTCCATTTTAAGTGAAAAAGTCTGGTTAAGGTGAATAATGTTGCTGACTTCGGCAGTTCCTCACCTGGTAATTTTTTTTTTTTAACATAATAAAGATTTTTGTATCAGTCATAAACTTGTCTTTTAAATGGTGACCTAGGCCTTTGACTTTTATATTCCAGATAGTTTCATAGCTGAAAGACCTTTTGAGGATTATTCACACCAAAATAGTATTTTCCTAGGGTGTTTGCCATCTTTTTCTGTGCACCGGATGAGTTAGCTTTAATTCTTTAATTGTGTGCAAGATAGTAACATGTTAACACTCTCCTTGTTCTGTGGTTGACTGTCTAGTTGAAAGTTTTGAAGCCGAGACTTGAGTAAAGGGATTGAAAGACCTTTAGTTGCAAATTTCTTGATTTCAGAGGGACTTGTGACCTCTGCCTCAGAAGTTTTAGCAGAAATCATGTTTTGTTCAAGTGAAAGGTTTTCCTCGTGATTTGGGGTGAAGGGTTGTTTGTTTCAAGTCTGTTTAGCAACATGATTGCTTTGTGTTTTTCTCATTCTTCTCATTTGTGTTTCTGACAGTTGGCAACTTCAGTTCATTCCATCAGAGTTCAGAGGTCAGCTACCAAAGCCTTTTGCAGAGGGACCACTGGCCACTCGGACTATTCCTGCTCACATGAATGACCAGAACCAAGAGGAGCCTTCCAGATACGTAAGGGCTGACAATCTTCTTTTGTTGCTGCCCAGAGAAAAAGTCACCCTAGATCTCTAGGCAGGTTACATTGGAGCACTGACCAGATGAGCATCTCAGAAAATGATTTCTTGAGAGTGAAAGATGAAATAATGCATGTGTGGAAGGAGTGAATGGTATCATTTCTTTCCAAAGCATGCTTCATTTTCTATGTAAAGCATATAATAGAGTTAACTTACAAAGCTTTGAGGGGGCTGGAGATTTTCCTGAGAGTCTTGAACTGTCTTTTTAGGTATACTGAAACTCACATCATTCCTTGGTCTATTGAAATACTTGGTGGGGAACTTCTAAGTGACCAGGTTACCTTTGACCTAGCTTTGCTATGTTCTGCTTTTAGCACAGAGACACTCAGAAAAGCTGTTTCATAGTAAGTAAGTCCCATGGAGCAATCCCTGTCAGTGCCAAGATCTTCTACCTACTTGTCTTCACACACTCTGGAGTCATGTGAATCTTATTTGTCTCTTTTGAAAGATAACAGTTTTGACATTTGATACTGGTAGAATCTCTGGATAAAAAAGGGGAGGGCTGGCCTTCGAGATGGCTTAGTGGTGAAGGCATTGTGTGGTCCTCTGACTTCCACAATGTGGTGCCTATATGAGTTTGTGTACTCCCTTGACATGTATATATATATATAAAATTAAAAAATTTTAAAGTGATAGAATAAAATGATAAATAAAAATTATAGAATAAAATTTGTAGACAATGAAAGACCATTTGGTATAATGGTTGGAAGGCACTATTTTTTTTGCCAGCTTATTATTAAATAGGTAATAGCTTAAATGTCAGTATATTTAATTTGGGTTCTCTTGTGTCATATACTCAAGATATAGCATATTGAGACTTATAGTTGTCTTCTGAAGCTGACCTGCAGCCAGAGAGTGAGGCTCTCTCTTGTGTGAGCAACCTGGTGTCTGCAGTACTAGGAATCGAACCCAGGGTCTGCTGTGTGCTGGACTGGGCTACACCCCCAGAAGCCTGTCAATTAGCATAGTGTCTGGTATTGAGGCTTCTCTCACAAATACTCTTCCTATGACGAAGCATCCCTTACAGAAATTATAATCTGCCCAGATCTTCTCCTTCCTTCTCTTACTAATGCCAACCTAGTTTTGATTTGTTTATCCATGCTGTTGTCTTTTCCTTATCAGTGTCTTTGTGCTGGTGACCATGCCTGAAGTACTAGTCTCCCACCACATGCTATCAGAATTCTCTTCCATGTGAGTGAACATGTTCATCTGTGTTTAGTAGGCTGTCTGTTAGTGCATGACGGATTTGTCTGCAGTCACTCGGCTTCTGGCCTGCCTTCTCTTATGTTACCTACGATGCACTCTGATCTGTTATGTCCTTCCTCGTGAGTGCCTGACTGCTCCGGGGGTGACTCCCCTTGTCCCTGTGTAGTCCCCACAGTGCATAGGACAGGCTTGTAAACCCAGTAGCTAGCCTGCTGCTGTTACTGTAGTAATTACAGTTAGTCTAACTCTGCCAGTCGCTCTCTCTTTATTTTTTACTTTTTGAGACAGGCTTTCTCTATTGTGCAGCCCTGGCTGTCTTGAAACTCTCTGTCTAGACCAGGCTGGCCTCAGAGATCCACCTGCCTTTGCCTCTCAATTGCTGGGATTAATGGCGGACCACCATGCCTGGCCTTCTGCCAGTGCCTTATCCAGAGATCCCAGTAGATTTCTGAAACTCTGGATGTGCTATGATTTTTCTGGACATACACCTGTGATAAACTTTAATTTACAAATTAGGCACGTTCCAAGTTCAGCAACAGCCAGGTGTGGTGGCGTACACCTTTAACCCCAGCACTGGGAAGGCAGGAGCAAGACGGGTCTCTGAGTTTGAGGCCAGCCTGAACTACAGAGTGAGTTCCAGTTCTCTACACAGAGAAACCCTGTCTTGAACTCCCTACCCTCCCTGTAAAAAATTTAACAGTAACAAAATAGAAAAATTATAAATGTATACTATAATAAAAATTATTTGACTATGTTTTCTCAAAATATTTCATTGTACTATAAATTTTAGTAACCTTAGCATAGAAATTTTTTCTTTTCTTAATAAGTTGAGAATTTTTTTTTTTTTTTTTACTTAAAGGAAATACTTTTTGGCTTCTCTTTGCCATATCCAAATTATCAACATCATTTCCTTTGTGCTATGGAACCATTGCTAAGTAAAATTAGAGTTCCTTGAGCGTGAGCACTGATGTGCTGTGATAATGGGTCTGATAACCAAGATGCTACTGTGATTAACGGCCTGGTAGTGTATATCATTTGGATATACTGGACACAAACATGATTCAGATGCTTAGTGGGACTGTGAGATTTCATCATGATAGACTTTATCATACTTAGTGTGCAGTTGAGCACTTTAAGAATTGTTTATTTCAAGCCAGGTGGTGGTGGCGCATGCCTTTAATCCCAGCACTCAGGAGGCAGAGCCAGGCAGATCTCTGAGTTCAAGGCCAGCCTGGTCTACAGAGTGAGATCCAGGACAGGCACCAAAACTACACAGAGAAACCCTGTCTCGAAAAACCAAAAAGTAAAAAATAAAGTAAAATCAAAAGAATTGTTTATTTCTGGAATATTCTGTCTGTGAAGGTTATTGAAACCATGAGAAATGAAATTTTGGATGATGGGGGAATGTATTAGGGACCTAGATGATGAATCTTCACCATTGGGATAATGGGTTAGATCATTTCATATTTCCTACTATCAGACATTGCTACACTTGATTGACTCTACCTTAGCTTTACCCTAGAGGGGGGAGATTTTTGTAGTTCCAGTAGGAGTCACAAAATGCTGGCTGTTAAAGGCAAGGACAGGGTGTTTGGTACCAGCCCTGTGCTCCTGCAGTTGAGAGTTTCTTACCGAAGCCTGCTGCACCTGCAGTGGGCTTCTTGTGTGGTAGGGAAAGTGCCTTCCAAAGCCAGGCTGTTCTCTTTGGACCTTTGGAAATCTGTAGGAACAGTTGATGGCTTATTACTAATTCCATATGAGCTGAGACTAGAGATTCATCTCTTGGAGCTAGCTACTTAAAGAGACATTTGTTTTCCTCTGACAATAAAAACAATACCCATTCATTGTGTGAAATAATGACATCCTTTCCTTCTCCAGTTACCATCACTGTTACTATTGTGGTGTTTTGTTTTTTCTTTTACCTTTTCAAGCTTTTATATATTGCCCACCATGGACCGTGTGGCGGTCAGAGGACTTTGTGCCGTTAGTTCCCTCCTACCTTTACATGGGTTCTGATGCATAAGCTCATGTTGTCAGGCTTGTACAGCAAGACCTTCACTTGCTGAGCAATCTTGGTTGGCCCCTTCACTTTTTCTTCGTGTGTGTGTGTGTGTGTGTGTGTGTGTGTGTGTGTGTGTGTGTGTGTGTGTTCCGCTAGAAACAAAAATATCATTTCTTTTTAAAGTTTTTAGTCATGTCTAATTATTTAAGAAACAGTGCCAGAATTCTGACTGTAATAGCCAAACAACTAATTGATGGAAGCACACGCTTTCCCTCGCTCGTGCTTGTTCCTTCTGGTAGCAGTCACAGTTCCTATAGCAACACAGCACCATTCTGTTACCGTCTTTGCAGAGCACGGTAACTAGTAGGGCGTTTGTTTGCATTTGCATTTTTTACATAATTACTTAATTTATTCCCTATTTGTATGTTCCCATGTAGAGGTCAGAGGACAACTTTTGGGAGTTGGTTTTCTCCTTTCACCGTGTGGGTCTTGGGTATCGAACACAGGTCATCAGGCTTACCAGCAAGTTCATTTATCTGCTGGCAATGTTGGCTCTTGTGTGCATTGTTGAGACAGGATCTTGCTGTGTAGCCCAGCCTGACTTGGAACTCAGAACTGTTGGGTTATAGGAGTGTGCCACCACACACAGCTTGTAGCACTGTGCTTTCGGCTCACTGGCCGTAGGTGATGGGTTTTAGTCTGCTGGCAGTCTAGGAAAAGGAGTTCAGTCCTTCCCTATTTCTATCTTGCATGGAAACTAGGGAAGCTGTGTGGCTCCCGTTACTTCACTGTCCCTCTGCCCCCCTCCCGAGTTTATCAGGATTAGGGGTGTTGCAAAGGAACTGTGGTTTCTAGTGCACTGTTAGAGCTGTATTGCAGAAATCATTTTTCAGCCTCAGATTTCACCCATTACTAAAAAATGGACTTAATAGTGGATCATGCTAAGATTCCTGCTAGAAACTAGTTCTGAGTTTAAAAGACATGTTAGTATTACCTTTCTTGACAAATTCAGATTTTGTTCCCTATTTCAAAGCAATATTTACAAAATTTACAAATGATAATTTGGATATGGCAAAGAGAAGCCAAAAAGTATTTCCTTTAAGTTAAAAAAAAATTTTTTTTTCAACTTATTAAGAAAAGAAAAAATTTCTATGCTAAGGTTACTAAAATTTATAGTACAATGAAATATTTTGAGAAAACATAGTCAAATATTTAAAAAAATTTACCGCATAAATATTTATGCGGTAAATTTTTGCTTGTGGATTTAAAAATTTGGTCGACTAATATGTAGTTAACAAAGCTGAGGGGGGGGGGGAGCAGGAAAACTGCAGCCAGTCTGTGCCTGGCTTTAACATGTAGTTGGAGCTGATGATGAACTCTCCAGCTCTTAAGTCTGGGATCTGATTTTAGACTTACCAGACAGTGGCTAGGCATTGGAGAAGACAACTATTGAGGAAGCTTAGAGAAAAGGCTTTTCTCTGACTTTGATTTGATGTGTAAATGGAGTTGCTGGGTGCTTGCTCATGTGTTATCATTGGAAGAAATAGATTGGTCAATAAGTTTTCCCCCAAACAGCAATTACTACAATTCTGTTACAAGATGGCGTAGAATAGCTAAGTGTCATTGTAAAGTAAAACCCACAAAGTTTATGGGGAATGGGATTAGGGCCACAGTATAAAACACTGTTAATAAAAGATCATTGGTAGAGTACTTGTCTAGCGTCTGCAAGG